GCCTTTCCTTTGTCCTTGTAATAAAAGCATTTGTGAAGAAATTCACACTGCACATGCCATCTGGCATCGCTGGAACGAAATATGAGTGCACCCTAATTAAAATCGTAAAATTTCTGACAATGAGCACCGCCATTCACTCCAATATCACCCCTGCACCGCTGACCCTCATTCCAAAAGAATGTGCTGGTTGGGCGACATAACAGGTTACCGCTACTGTTTATTCCAAAAACATTGTGCGTCTTTCGGAATTAAATTCTAAAAATATCACGTAAATTTCGTTACAATTTCTCAGAAACGATCATTGCGGGAAAATTGTGTGCTGGGACTAAGATTTTTTAAGGATCGATGCGATAAAACGATAGTTCGAGGAACGATAGAAGCGGGAAAATGTAACATTATTTTATATGGGATGTATTCGGGACCGAACAAAACGGACGATGCATCCGGGAAAACGATAGTTCCGGGAACGATGGATAGAGGTTTCACTGTAATTATTATTCTTCAGTTAATGTTTTGTTTGTTTACAAATTATGCCTGTAGTAATGGTAAATTTCTTCTTTGTCTCATGTGGAAGTACACATAGCATCAGCTCCATAAGCCTCTGTTAACATCTGCACAGTTTTGCATGTGCCTTGCCTAACTTTGCACAAATCTTGATGTTAATGCATTGCTCCAGCATCTTTTTGCCTGGAAGAAACAAACTTGTGTAACTGCCACTGCTTCACTATTACCGCCTTATTTGCTTCACCAACAAAAGACACGACCACAGGCACATGACACGTCGCTACTTCCTTATTTTTCGCTTGCTACTCGGTGTGACGTATATGCGGGCATTCTGGGAACTCAGTTGTCATTCCTCATAGTGCTGCAAACTCACTCGGTAGACTGTAGTGTAGTGTAGAGATTTCAGGTTCTCATAGCATTGAAGATGTTGGACTTGCAGAGAAATACCAACATTTTAAAAAAACATTAGCCGCATCTCAGGTTTAATATATGAAGGTGGAGACAGTGTTACAAACTAGAAGACTGTCTGTAGTGACAGTGCATAGCAAAGGAAAAACAAAGAAAAAAAAACATTGTTAATATCAGCTGCGGAACTGGGAACAAAATTTTGAGGCTTTATTAGAATTGCAGTATGTAGCAAATATGAATGAAACTCAGAATGGGTACAGGTTTCTTAATATGGATGAAGCTCAGGTGGAATGCTCATGAGCTACCTAATCACAGGGGACAAGTTAAATTGGATATACTGGAGAAAATGACCCCAAAAAATTGAGACATTGTTACAGGATGTACCATTTGAAGCGTGCAAACATCTAGTCATCCCCAAGTCTTAAAAATGAAGGGAAGGAGCAGAATGGAGTCTCAGATTCATACAGCTGAGCCACAAGTAACTGACCCTAAATTTTAGGGGTTGATATTTCTATGAGAATGTATTTAACAAATTCCAAAAATTGATCAAGCAGGCGGTAATACATTATGTTCTCTGATCTACAGACTTTCTTCTTCTATTTGGAATAATTAGGAATTGTCGGAACAGTGTAAGGAATCTATTATTATACCTGTTTAACAGAAGTGTGATAAAACTGACTGTCGTAATTGTCAATGAATATTACTGTCATCAGCAGCATACAGAAATTGTATCCAAAATTCTTCTGTCAAAAAAAAATATTTGGTATCATCAGCTTGGATTTCAGTGTAATCAGTCAGATATTTGTCATTCCAGTGATACTGGAGAAAAAATGGGGGCACAGTCGAACTGCACATTGGCTATTTATATACTCCAAGAAAGCCTAGGATGCCATTAGGAGGAAAGTGTTATGCATCATTTGCATTGTCTACGGTATACCAGTGAAAGTAATTGGCCTAATAAAAATGTATTTCAATGAAACCTGTAGTAGTTCATATTCAGAATGGTCTGAAGCAGGGAGATGCTTTTAACTTTTCTTTAGAATATAGCATCTAGGAGGTCCAAGAAAATGGAGGGAATGGAATTAAATGGGACACGTCAGCATGTCAGCTTGTGGTCTGTGCTAATAATGTTAATTTATTGGGCAAAAATTTACATATTATAAATCACAAATTACAGAAGCTATAGTGAATGCTAGTAAGGAAATTGGTGTAAAAGTTAATGCAGAGAAAACTTATGTCTTCGTACCAGACTGGACAAAATCATTATATGAGGCAGCTATTAAACCCTTTGAACATGTGGCAAAGTTCATATTTTTGGGAATGATGGCAACAAATTAGAATTGTGTTTACATGGGAATTAAGAGTAGACAGAATTTGGAAAATGCATAACATGCAGTTCAGGATCTTTTGTCTTCTCATCTCCTGTCTAAAAGCATAAATATTAAAGTATATAAAACAAAATTTTACCCTTTTTCATGTGTGTGAAACCTGGTCACTCACATTAAGAAAAGAATTCTGATTGAGGGTAGAATAGGGTGCTTAGGAGAACATTTATATTCAAGAGGAATGATGAAGTGAGAGGAGGCTGGAGAAAACTGCATGATAAGCTCCAGAATTTATACTTTTCACCAGATGTTAGGATGATCAGATTGAGGAAGATGATATGGGTGGGACAAGTAATTTGCATGGGAAGATAAGAAATGTGTATAAAATGTTAGTTGAAAAGTCTGTTGGGAAGAGGCACTGAAGACCTAAGCATAAATGGCAGGGTGAAAGTAATTGGATCTTAGAGAAATAAGGTCTGAGGGTGTGGTTTGGATTTGTTAAGCTCAGGATAAGTGCCAGTGTTGGGCTGTTCTGAACATGGTAAGGAACCTTCAGTCTCCATGAAAGGCAGGAAATTCTTGTGAATAGCTGAGCACAATTTAAATAAGTTGCAAGATGTTAGTGGGAAGGGAATATCAGTCATCTATACAAAGAAAATAAATGCTACACTTGCCATCATAAATAAAATGTACCTATATAAAGACCATATGCATTGCAGAAAATCCCATTTTTTCATCATGCTTTTAGAAAATCTTAAATATGTCCGATTTATATTTCTGTGATATTAATTGCAGTAACGTGGCGGAAGCCATGGTAAGCAAAGGCTTCGCTACAGTGCTCAGATATCGTCCAGATGATGATCAGAGATCGTCTCATTACGATGAACTTCTGTCTGCTGAAATGAAGGCTAGTAAATCTGGAGCTGGGGTCCATGCAAAGAAGAATATTCCTAATCACCATGTTGCTGATGTAGCAGGGGTAAGATATGCCAGTTGTCAGTTTTGTTAAGGAATTAATCAACATAAATCCTGTCAGAGTTTAATTATCTTCTTTTAAATAGGACCTGGCCAAGGCGAAGCAGTTTCTACCATTCCTTCAGCGAGCGGCCCGAACAGAAGCTGTGGTAGAATTTGTTGCCAGTGGCTCGAGACTACGGCTTTATATTGCCAAGGAGACCTGCCTTGTTACATTCCTGTTGGCAGGCATTAACTGTCCCCGTGGCTCCCGGCCAGGCATCGGAGGAGCAGGTTTAATAGAGGGGGAACCCTTTGGAGAGGAAGCACTGCAGTTCACCAAGGACAGATGTTTGCAGCGCGAAGTTGAAATCCACGTAGAATCGATGGATAAGGCCGGAAACTTTATTGGTTGGCTGTGGGTGGATAGCCATAATCTATCAGTTGCTCTAGTTGAGGCAGGACTGGCAACAGTGCATTTTACTGCTGAACGCTCAGAACATTACAGAGCCCTCAAAGCTGCTGAAGATAATGCTATAGCTACCAGATTGAAGGTGAGTAAAGAAATTATTGTGTTTTGAGTTGTTTTATGAGAATCTGATATATTTGTTATAATTAGATATCGATGGAGGTAAGAGATTGAACAGTTAATGAAATAATGGCCTCCAACAGTACTAAATATTTGCGTGGATTAGAGTGTTCTAGACAAGCTAATAGTATGCTCAGTAGAATTTCGTGACATGCTTTTTTATGGTGGGGAGTTCTTAGCCCTCAAACCCCAAACTGGAGGACCACTCCTTGTCATCTGTCATAATTGCTTATTCAGTATATTTGCAGCTACCCTGGAAAATAATTGGGTACATAGTCCTCACTGTGATCTAATTGTTAGATACACAGATGTGTTATTGTTGTGTTGGGTGAAGGATTCCATTCCAAATGTTTGAGTGTCCAAATGGAGGGAGGAATCCGCTTATTTCTGTGCTGGCTGGCCGGCCGGCAGAAGACTCTGCAGTGATGCGTTCTTCTCTCATGTTTGTGCGATGATGAAATATTTTTCTAACTCAAAATTATTACTTCATATAAAATGGGGTAATATAGAGTCCAAGCAAGTGTAGAAAAATGTAAATTCCTTTTACATCTTAGTGGCTGCTGACGATACTGATTTGGTGCGAGTCCAGTTACCCTGAGGATATACAGATGGAGTATCTACACCCTATATTTTGTAAATCAAATATTTGTATGTACACACACATGCCCGCAGGCATTTACTCGCACACCACACAGAACATATGCACATACGTCTGTCTTACATATGGCATATTGATTTTTGTACATCATGTTTGCATCACAGAATGTTATGAAGGTGTAGTTCATTTGCTAACATATAATTTTGTTAACAGATATGGAGTAATTATGTAGAAGAGAATGAGGACAAAAATAAAATTGAGGAGGATAACATCACAGAACGCAAGATAGATTATCACAAGGTATTTGTCGTTGAGGGAACTCGTGACCTGCACTTTTATGCTCAGCTTGTGGAACAGGGTTCCAAATTGGAACAGCTAATGGGGAAGATAAGACAGGAGTTTGTTTCCAATCCACCTCTGCCAGGTGCATTTACACCCAAGCGAGGTGAAATGTGTGCAGCAAAGTTCACTGTAGATGACCAGTGGTATCGTGCTCGTGTTGAGAAGATATCTGGCCCTGACATCAGCGTGTTATACATTGACTATGGGAATCGAGAGGTTGTTGACATCGTGCGATGTGCCACTCTGCCATCCAGCTTTGCAACAGAAAAACCATTCGCACTTGAGTATGCATTGGCTTGTGTTCAGCTTCCAATTGATGTACGTACACTAACTTAATTGAGTTTAATCTTAGAATACTTGTGTACAGATGTTTCAGGACTTAAGCAGTATTCTTATTCCAGGAGGATGATAAAGAAGAGGCAATACATGCTTTTCGAAATGATGTGCAAAATCGCACTCTGAATATGAACATAGAATACAGGCTTGGAAATGTTTCATATGCTACACTAGTTGACCCCGCTAATAATGATGAGGACATTGCCAAAACTCTGATCCTTGAAGGACTTATTTTATTCGAGAACCGCACAGAAAAGAGACTGCAGAAATTGGTAAGTAGGACCATGAGAAGTTGCATAACTTTATTATTTATTTAACGTGCTTTATCAAATCCTGTTTCTTATTATACTTTATTCGCACCTGATGCAAGATACGGAATGGAACATGCACATTCACGCAGAGTTTGGTGGTCTGTGTTTGTGCATGACTAATTAGCATGTAGGAATGGGTGAAAGTCGTGACTTTGATATGTGTTAAGCCATTGCATCTCTTATCCTCCTAGCAAGTTCCAGAAAATTTTGCAAGACATTAAAAACATATCTCATCATCATCATAATCCAATCACGAACTTAGGCCAGGGGTTGGCCTGTTTCGGTCTCAATATTCATGCCATCCAGCAGTCTTTGGAGCAGGGGACAGGTCTTCTCCCTTTTGGACAGTATTTCAGCATTTGTTTCGGCAACCTTTTGTCTTCCATTCTAGTTTCTTGTTCTAACCATGCTGAATATATTGGTGTAATAAGTCATTATAAATTACATTTTATTAGCTTTCATTGAGTGTAGAAGTTTAGTCTAGTACAAGTAAAAGAATGTACTATAATCACACTCAAAAATAAATAAATAATTTTTTAGTACATTCACAGTGGTCTTCGGTTTGTTCTTGTATTCATCTCTAATCATGAACCACAAACAATACAGCTCAATGTTTTTCTTCTGTTCAGAACAGCCTGAGCTCTTTACATCTTGTGCATGACTTAAAGTTTACCATACTTTAGGTAATATTGTAATGTCAAGTGGTAGCCATCGCATATTTTAGACATATGCAGATTGTGGAAGATGTCATCAGTAAACTCTTGTTTTCAGATTCTGAACCTTGGAGTAAATATAAGGGCACTAGGTAGCATACAAGTGGAACACAATTAAAGCATTAATATGCTTATTTTGTGTGCACTTCAATCCCCCCCTTGAACACATGCTAAATTTTTGCAGCATGTACCAGTGTCTGCATTGACATGATTTATATTGCAGGTGTCAGAGTACAGAGCGGCACAGGAAACTGCAAAGAAGAGTCATGCGAACATGTGGATGTATGGGGACATCACAAAGGATGATGCCAAGGAGTTTGGTCTGGGATGTTAAATCTGCATGATGTACACTGGCACAGCAGTTGGAGAGGGCTCAATGGCATCTTGCATTTCCCCCAGCAGGATCAGGTCAACCAACCTAATAGCTGTGATCACTGTAGAATGTTTATGTGGATCTAATAATATAAGCATTTTATTGTTGGTCATAGCTTGATTTAAACCTTCCTTTAAAAACAGCATGCATGCATGCATACATACATATACAGTGTTCTGTCACAGTGGCTGTGGTATCCTAGCCCCCTTAATGCTTGGTTCTTTGGCCATAATGAACAGGACTGAGATTTATATGCATGCAAAGTGTTGACCCTGTGCTACAGATAATATGTAGTTTAACAGTGGCTCAGATGCTTACCTGAAACTATTGTTTGCAGGAGAAAGTGCAATATTTCACAGACTGTTCAAAAACAAATACAAACATTAAAGGGCATGAAAGGTGTGCACTGAATCCATAAAAAATTGAAGTTGTTTCCAGCTTCATGAAGCATAAATGGATGTATCTTGCTGAGGCATGTGGTACCAAGACCACACTGTGGTATAGTATGTTATTTCTTTCCGTTTTGCAATGGTTATAATGTAAATATAAGGAAAAAACATTTTCTAAACTGTCAGGTTGTTAAAATGCAGCAAACTGCGTGGTCCAGGATGTTTCTCTTTATTGTGGTTTCAATTGATCGCTTCTGGGAATAATTTTAATGATTATACATATTTCATGATAAAATATGTTCCAGTTCTACATTTGATATTGCATCAGTCACTGAAAATGAAAATATTTTCTTGGCATACAATCAGATGCCATCTAAATAATGAATTTATGTAATCATGGTCATTAAATAAATGGTCGGCAGGGATGACACGAATCATGAAGACTATAACTGATAATTATTGTGCAATTTTTTTTGTTATTGCAAGTAACTTATGTTTATAATTTTGTAAGGTGAAATTGTAGCAGCCATATTGTATGGACTTTTTAAGCTGTATGTTCAGTTGAAAACAATCATGAGGGGGTTAATGTGAATGTTTCTGGTGGATGTGGGGCTGTGTTATTAAGATTAAAAATAAAAATATTGAAGGAAGTAATTTTTATTTCCTATCTTCAATGTCTGAATGTCCAAATTCATCCCATTGTCCTAAGTAGAGTAATATAGAAGAATCTTCCCTTGGTTGCCAAATAAATATGATATTTATAACATTGGGGATGGACGTCTTCTGAGATGTTGCACCATGCAGTTTTGTAAATATTGACTAATGTTTCAGAAAGCTTATTGCCTCCATCATCAAGGTGATGGAGTCCAGACTGCATGGTGCAACATCCCAGAAGACATCCAGCTTCATAACATTTCTTTTCTGGCGATGAAGCTTTGAGGGTATGTTTTATTTTGTTAATGTGTCATTCTGTGTCAAGTCAAGAAATGGATGTTGCTTCACTGTCATGTAATTTAGTGATTCGTAGTGGTTTTCTTGTGTAACTCCTTATAAAGTACCGGGTCTTCAATTTATGCGGTAACGGCCATGCTTGCATTGCATGCTCGGCACGTGCACTGTTGACCTCGGCAGGACTGGTGCGTGTTCTTCCTGTGAGTCACCGGCGAATCAGTTTCATTGTGTGTCTCATCGCGGATTGACGTTGATAATATGGTGTATAGTATTAAGTAACGTGTGTTCTTAGTCGAAACATATGCCAAATATCATCCTACGGAAGATGCCGCCGTAAATATCGCAGACATTTTCCTGGTGAAAGTGTTCCTAGCAGGCCCATGATAGAGAGATTAGTAAAAAAATTTCGTAGTACGGGATCAGTTTTGGATAAAAATAACAGGAAACGGAGTGTATTGACTGAAGAGAAATTGAATGAAATTGGGGCTTTCTTAGAAAAAAGTCCAAGGAAATCTTTGGCACGTTTAGCTGCACAATCTGGCGTGTCATTGGGATCTGCTCACACAGCAACGAGACTTCTGAAATTGCGACCATATAAGACCACTGTTGTTCAGAGACTCACAAATCCTGACACTGGTGCTAGGATTCGTTTTTGCAATTGGTTGTTGGGATCCGTGCATGATGGGATTGTTAATCCACAGCTATTGTTTTTTAGTGATGAAGCATGGCTGCATTTAAGTGGATATGTCAACAGTCAAACAACCGCTACTACAGTTCCAAAAATCCACATCAGTTGCATGAACATCCTCTTCATGACATTAAGGTTGGAGTCTGATGTGCAGTTACCTCCAAGAGAATAATAGGGCCAATCTTTTATAATGAAACAATAAATTCTGAACGTTATGTAAATTTAATACTTAGACCCTTTTTCCAAGAAATGATCAATGAAGAAAAGACTTACAGTTTCTTCATGCAAGACAATGCTACAGCTCACAGCTAATCGGTCGATGTTAGCATTAAGAGAAGTGTTTGGTAAACAAGTTATCGATCAGTGGCCTCCACGTTCCCCAGACTTAAACCCGTGCGATTTTTACCTGTGGGGCATGCTGAAGAACAAAGTTTATATAAACAATCCGCACACTGCAGAAGAACTTAAAGAAAATATTCGACAACTGATTTCGGCAATTACCCCAGAAGAGCTTCGTCGAGTATTTAGAAATATGTTAACAAGATGTGAAGCTTGCCTGCAAGCACAAGGAAGTCACTTTGAACATCTTTTGTGATTTAAGATAAGAACAATTAATATAATAACATTTATTAGTAACGAGAAATATTCGTAGTTCGCTGTTGCTAGCGGCACTGAAACTGATTCGCCTGTGACTCACGGGAAGGACACGCACCAGTCTGGCTGAGGTCAACAGTGCACGTGCCGAGCACGCAATGCAAACATGGCCGTTACCGCATAAATTGAAGACCCGTAGTACGCATGCTTCCCTGATATCACCAATTTACAGATATCAGTTTTAAGGAAGTGTGTACAAGAGAAAAATGTTACATATGCTGTTTTTACAAAGTTCACAATTCAGTAACTTTTGAACATTTGATTATATCACATTATTTTTCCTGAATTTGTACATTTATGAGAATACTTTTTGGTATATCTACTTAATTATTGTTATCATCTAATGTGAGTATTTATTTCAGTTGAAACTTATCATAAAATTACATATGCTAGGCATAAGTGGAGATTTATGATGGTATGTATCTCAGAACTGTCAAAAGATAGGAGTTGCAGCTTCAGGCAGTCCTTAGGTTATTCAGGTGGAATAGGATGCAGTTCTCCTGTGAAAAAGGATATGTTCAGCTTGTCTCAGTGCTGGGTGTGTGTGACCAGCAGAACATAGTTATCTTCAGTCCAGCAGTAGTAGTCTCTCTTGAGACAGTTTGGTCCATGAAGCTGCATGAGTCTCACATAGGACATATTGTCATCTTCCTTGAACAATACTTAACCATCTGTGATCATTCTGACAGAAAGCACGTGAAAATATAATAATTTGAGATACGAGTATATCTGTGCTGTTTGACGTAGGTTTCTTTGTTAGTCGATGTGTTGGGAAAGATTGTGGACACAAATAAAAGCTGTAGTGATGGTGGTTTGAAGAAATGATAAGCTTGAGTTCCTGGTATTGCAACTGCAATATGAAATCAGTATGAATGTTCCTTCTTGTAGTTGAGGATTTGTTCACAAAAGAATGTAACGTATGTATTACTGTTGCAGTTGTTGAAGTTAATGAGGTGTTTCAATTTGATTACTGTGCAATTTCTGTAGACTTTTATCTTTGCAGCCAGCCATTTCACTGACCCTTCTATTCCATCTGCTGGTCCCTTTCCATGGCTCCTTGCAAAGAAGTGCCATTCAGCAGAGAGACCAAAATCTTTGTAATGGTAAATGATGTAGTTCACATTTTTTCTGTTGTGTTGAACTGCACTGCCATCACTGAAGTATTCAACCATTTTTTGGCTAAAAAACTTAGTGCATAGATGCACTAATTTACTCTTAAATGCATAAAATGATGTGTTGTGATCAGGGCAGTCGCTAATTACACAAGCGCAGAACATACCCATTTAGCAGAAGTCAGAACAATAGATGTAAATGACATTGATATGTGCATTGGAATGTCAAGCTCAAGTCCTTGGCCCTTAATAAACCATATTGGTTGCCTGTACCAACAAAATAGATATCTTAGTTACATAAAATTTAAGAAATTTACCATCTGAGAAATGTATTGGGGCAAGAAAGATTGAGTGGAATATCAGTATGCATTGAAAACATTACTGCAAGAAATGGCAAAACGACAAAAACATGGTAAATTACTGTCATAATTGTGTCATCTTTATTAGAATCGGGTAATTGTGGTATGGCTTAAACCTATGAAGGTTCTGTGGAATCTAAATAAATTCTGTTCTATTCTATTTTACCTCTATTATCTGTGGTTATGTTTGCATCTGTGGACTGATGCACAGTAGTTTGGTTAGGTTTTGTATCTGTGGACATAAATAGTGATCTTTCCTAGCTTATGTTTGAAGGGTGTTTTGATATTTTGTGTATTTGACTAATAAATTGATATATATGGAGACCGTGTGCGTAGAAGTTGAGCCTAACCGCAACGCCGAAGCATATCGCAATTATCAACCGGCAGGTTTACCAGTGCAGGTTGAGAAACATTTAGATTTTATTGAATTATGTGACGGTAAGTACCGTTCAAGGCCCATGTGAGTGTGCTTGTGATAATTTTCATGAAATAATGTCTCATGTGACATATATGTCGGGCTTTTATGAGTTTGTTTTTTGTAATAGAGGCACTTGCTGCGCTAAAAAGAATATTCAATCCTGTCTTCCTGTTCAGAATTTGTGTTTTGTGTTAGTAACCCCAACAATACACCATTGTAATTTTCAATCTAATGTAACGTGTGATCGTGTAGTGAACGTTTAGTTAAATTGGGCAGTCTGTTAAAATTCAGGAACGTAAATCGGAAAACAATATTGCTACATTTATGTGAGGTCCAGCAGTTATTTGCATTTATTAACAATAGTAATCGCATTTTGCTTACCGAACATTTTCAACAAAACCCTGAATAATTTGTCAGACTGTGGTTTATTACTGACAGGCTGTAATTAGAGGCCTTCAACGTATGATGCTCACTTTTCTCTAAATGTTTCCACCCAAAATACTAAATTTAAAATTATTTTGTAATAATGTGTTTTGTACAAAATTTCCCAATTTATGGATTCTCAGATGCTAGTAGCATATGATTGTTAGACACTACTAGAATTTTTGTTATATTTCAACACAAATATAGTTTTCCATAGAAGTATGTGATTTACACAAGTTCACCATGAAGATGTAGGTGACAGTTTCCTTTTGAACCTTTTTAAACAGTTACAAGCTTACCCAGCATCATAAACTAGATGACCATAATCTGAATTCTCATCACTGTGAAAGCCTTAAATCTCACAGACATTTAATGTGAGTTCATAACCTATCCAGTTAAAGTTAGTGGTGGCAAAGGGGTTGGGCGATGTACCAGGGCCTCATGCCTGTGGGTGTCTCACATGCTTCACAACTGTAGTCTACTTCTAAGATTTGAGGTTTTCACAGCGGTGAGTATGAAGATTTCTGTCTTCTGGGTTGTTGCGCTGTGTAGTCTGGTCGATGTTAACCAACGTTTCAGAGGTCATACTGCCTCCGTCATCAGGGCGATGAATCGTTAGTAAACATCGACCAGACTACATAGCGCAACAACCCAGAAGACGGAAATCTTCTGTAGTCTACTTGTATGTATTGGAAATGCTTTTTTGTTCTTGTATTGTTGGTGTAGTTTGCCTTTAATCTGAGACCAAGAACAATGAAGGAAGAAGGAATTGAGAAAGTTTTCAATGAAAGCCTGTGGGGAATAAACAATTTTTTTAAAACATTTCTCCATAAAATGCTATTGCTGACAGTAGATTGGTTGTAATTATTCAGTTACATCACTCTTCTTAATCTGTCTGAGTAACTGGCAATTATCCATGTTAGGATGTACAGCTGAAAAAAAGGAAGACGCATGAATTGGGCGAGTCAGTTGCACAGAGGTAGTTTTCAAGTCGTAAGACTTGAGGTTCTCACAGCGGTGAGTATGAAGATTTC